AAAAAAAAAAAAAAAAAAAAAAAAAAAAAAAAGTTTAGAGTGAAAAGCACTTCAATTCCAATCCAACTAAGTTTCAAGTCCTCACAAAATCAAAATACTCAACACATTACGTTCATAACATTGCCCGAGTAATCCAAAAGCACATCAAAAAAAAAATCCGAAAACGAAAACCAGAAGGCGTCCAAAACAAAACGGAGACCGAAAACACATATTTCTCAATCGAGAAAAGCTCGGGAGTGAAGCAAAGCGTACCGGTGAGGGATCGAGAAGCAGAAGTAATTGCATGAGCAATTGAGCAAACAGCTTGGATCTGAGGATCGGTCCACGACTGAAAAGCAAGCTTCCCGTCGCCTAGGTCCCGAAGACCAGCGTTGAGAATTAAATAGAATTGACGAAGGCCAAGTTTGATCGAAGAATCATCGGAGCGAATAAGAAGCTGGAGAATATCGGAGGAAGACGAAGGGTCCTTAGTATTGGCGCTGGTGCTGGAATCATCAAGGAAGAGAGTGTCTACGAGTTTGACGAGACTCTGCTCCGCCATGGGCAGTGGCGCCCAAAGGCCAGGACGATCAGAAGTAGAAACTTGGAGAAGAAGAAGAAAGAAGAAGAAAAGAGAAAAAAAGGATGTGCGTTTGATTATAAATAGTAAAAGAAGAGGGGTTTTGAGAGTGTCAAGAAAACGGGAGGGGGTTTATAACAAAATGTTGCTCTTAAGGCGGTCGATTGAAAGGGAAGAGAAAATATTCCCCCGGAGATTTTTTTTTTTTCTTTTTTGCATTGCTGTTAATAATACAGATATTTATAAATAAAATAAATAAATATTATGAAACGCTGTTTTTCTAGTGGCCACTTCCACTTGTCAGCTCGCAAGATGACCTGCGTTGTCCTTCATCTGACGTGGCACCGTATGTAAAAGCCTCCAAGTTTTGTTTTATCATGCCTAATTATCAATCAAATATTAATCTCAAAATATTTTAAAATGTATAATTTTTTATTTTTCCATAAATCATTTAAGAAGTTAAATTATAATATATTAAATACACACCTTTATTAAATACAAAATTCAATTTTATTCGTTAGTTTCAAATGTGTTATGACATATTAGATAAAAAAATTCAAAAAGATTGGTTTAAAAAATAATTCATTTTAGATCTAAAATGTCTCAAATTGTCATAATATATTAAAATGACTAATATATTCTGATAATGTCATTGTCCACCGTAGAACGACGACATCTAACAATCATTTTCATCTTTAGTGACCCTTCGACAATGGTATGAAATGGTAAACAATACAGACAATATTTTAAATATAAATTCAAACTTGTTAATTCGTAGTATTTATTAGTTTTTTTTTTTTATATATATATAGTAATTTGACGTTAAAGGAGCCAAATTCATAAGTGTTTTAATTCTAAATAGTTTTATAAACAAAATGCATTTTAGAAAAATACTTGAATTGAAAAACAATCCAAACAGATGCTTAAATGCGAAATTGAAAGGTAAGGAATATGATATAGTAATTTAATTTTTTAATTTTGTTGTAAATTATTTTCGGCTTCCAAGCACGATTTTCAGCCATCCAAGAAGGCAAATCACGGTACATCCAAACACGATGAACAACTATATCACCAGGTATCTCGGCACCAAGATCCATGGGAGGTGAGCCAAAGGTTTAAAACTATGCAATTAATAACTAATCTTCTGCAATACGATCGATAATCCTCGGATCTGTGGATCACTAATCAAAGGAGACATCCGCATAAACACGATATCTGCGAACGAATTGATAGAGGAAGAATCCAGATCCCAGTCGATACACACGAGAGAGATGAAAATTCAATCGAAAATCGGAGTCCGCTAGTTGAGAAAGCTTTGAAAGATTAAACAATTGCTCACTTACCTCAGAAGCTCGAACGCCGACTTCGTGTGCGAGCGATCGCGAAATGCCTAGAAAAGATCGAACAGAGAGGCGATGGAGTAATCCATGGAGTGGTGCAGAATCGCGTGCTTACAAGAAATAATTAAAGAGAGAGCAACTGACTGGGAGTCTCAGAGTGAGAAGGATTTTGAAATTTGTTTCGCGGCGTGCTTTCTTCTCCGGCACGAATTTTATGGCGGGAGAGTGGTGGGTTTTAAATTATGTAATTTTTTTTTTTAGGGAAACGATTCATCGCTTGGACTAAATTTTGTTTCAAATTTTATTCTATAATTTCTTTTTTTTTTGCAAAAATATTCTCTAAAAAAAATCATAAAACCATACTTAATTTTGTTGAAAATAGTTAAACTATCTCATGGAGGAACACTCGTTCTTATTACATGTTTTGTCCTCACTCACATACATCCTATGAAAAATTTAGGAGTCCACCCTATTAGATGAACACGACTCTCCACTAAGTATGATATACTTCACTTTGAGCATAAGCTTTTATGACATTACTTTGGACTTCTTCAAAATGTCTCTTATGACTTTGCTTTGGGCTTCCTCAAAATGTCTCATTCGAACGGAGAGAGTATTCATTGATTGTAAGCTCATCATCATTGTTGGATGAAAGTCCCACATCGGCTAATTTAGAAAATGATCATGAGTTTGTAATCAAGGAATACTCTCTATTAGAATGAGGTATTTTGGGAAGCGCAAAACAAAATTATGAGAACTTATGCTCAAAGTGGATAATATCATACCCACGAGAGCTTATGCTCATAGTGGACAATATCATATAATTATAGAGAATCATGTTCGTCTAACACCCAACATAAAATTGTTCATCAAGTACGCTTATTGCGTAACTATGAAGTTCTTTGATGAGTCTATGAATAGGAAGGTACACTTTTTTACTCAAACCTTACATTATTATTTTTGTTATAGTTAACATTAGTAGGTGAATCGAACAAAATTGAATTAGGGTATAAATTGCAATTTCATGAAACTGCACCTTAAATTTGTAAATATTGCAATTGAAGGTAGGGACGTTCAAGAAATTATTAAAATAAACAAATTACTCGCAAATTTAGATAAACAAATTACTCTCAAATTTAGAAAATTTAGAAAATATAATAAGCTCAAATTTAAGTACTAAACATATAATATAATTTTCTTTTAATAAAAATTTATGCAAAATCATGCTAAAGTATTTGGGGGAAAGAGACAGAAAAAATACCTTGGAGTATATAGGGAAAGAAATAGGGAATTAAATATTTATTTTCCCTTTTTCAGTGCAGTTGAGGAGCTGTTTATTTTCACAGATAAGTCACCAAAACAGAGCCTTTTTTGGCCTTTAATCTCGTGAACCAACACTGCCCCAACTGCCCCAATCCCCCCATCTTCACACCAATAAAGAACCAAACCAAACCAAACCAAACCAAACCAAAATCAACTACATTGACTGCTGTTTCGGTTTACAGTTCACTGGTTTCTGCATGAACCACATTATGAACCTTACGCTATTTTTCTGCTATAAATAAATCTCCATTCCCCTCTCCTTCCTCACCTCAAACAACATCAACACTGCCATCTAAAAATGATTTGCCTCCTCATTCTAATCGCCCTCAATTTCAGTTTCCTCGACCTCTCACAGGCCAGGCACCACAACAACCTCCCTTCCACGGCCGCGGTCGTCGGTACCGTCTTCTGCGACACGTGTTTTCAAGACACGTTTTCTAAGTCAAGTCACTTCATTTCAGGTACTTTACCAACTAGCTTGTAGAATTAATATGATGTTGGTTTGTTCAGATATTGATGCGTACTATTTAGGCGCGACGGTGGCTGTCGAATGTGGCGATGGGGGATCGAACCCGAGTTTTAGAGACGAAGTAAAGACAGACAAAACAGGGGAATTCAAGATTCAGCTGCCAGTTTCAGTGAGGAAGATTGAGGAATGTTATGTGCGGTTAATAAGAAGCAGTGAACCATATTGTGCGGTGGCTGCAAGAGCCAAATCATCATCGCTTAAGCTCAAGTCAAGAAAACAAGGCACGCATGTGTTCTCGGCTGGATTCTTCACTTTCAAGCCTCTTAAACACCCAAAACTTTGCAGCCATAACTCACATTCTAGTGAATTTGATGACACGAAACAAGTCGTTGACTTCCCGGGGTTACCGGCTCCGATCCAGAACCCGACCGTGCCGAATGTTCCTCGGATTTACGATAACCTTCCGCCTCTAACTCTTCTTCCTGGACTTCCTCCATTGCCTCAGCTTCCTCCTCTCCCTCCTCTTCCACCTCTCCCTGTTTTTCCATTGTTTCCACCAAAAAAGGATGATGAAAATGTACAAACTCCAAAGATAAGTCAAAACCCGGACATGTTTCATCCACAAACTCTCCTTCCAATTCCATCTTTAAAGCCTTTGAGGCCACATTTTGTTATGCCTCCACATAAGCTGCGTCACCATCCTCTCACGCATGGTCCTTTTTCGCCTTCATTCTCAACTCCTACACCGCCCTCGGCCGCCGCCGACGAGTTAGCTCCGTCCCCGCCGCTCCCTTTTTCACTCCCACCCATCCCTCGTATGCCCGAGATCTCCTCACCTCCAAAGGAAACTTCTCCTTAAAAAATTGTAACGACCCTTGTTTTCAAATGATTTCAGTAACAAAAATAAAACTTTGAATTAGTAGTTTTTACCTATTCATAGTACGAATTAGTAATTGTGAACGAAATCGATGAACTTGCGAGTAGATGATGGGATTTGACATGAAAGATTGTGTTGTTTTGGATAAGATTGATCGTATGATTATTCAAATCATCAAAGGTTTATCAAATGGATTAAATTGGACGATTGATCCAATTGCTTTTGTTTGTTATGGATTTTGTTCTTTTGTGATCAATAATTTGAATATGTTATTTTATTTTCTAAATCTTGTTTAAACAAAAAAAAATTATTATAAAAGGACATAAATTTCAGACCTTAAAAAAAATGACAATTAAGTAAAATTATAATGATGCTGATATTCAAAATATATATATAAAAAATGTATCGAAGAAAAAAATGTGAAATCTTTTTCCAAGCAAGAACAAAATTATTTTATCCTTTTTAGCAGGAGACAAATTATACATTCGATTCGAGAGAGGATAATAAATGTTTTTATCGGTTCATGAAGATTCAAATCCCGAAAGTAAATTTAGGTTGAAATTGGTACCAAATCCTAAATTTGTAGCAGTTCTTGGGGGAGTAGACACATAGTGGAGATTAAATTAGAGCGTTCTATCGAACAAAACCATCGAAGCAAAGGAGTCACCGGGAGCGCGATAAACAGAGGGGAAGAGGGCAGTAGCTTTATTTTCGCGGAATTCGTAGCTTTAATTTCATCGCCTTCAATTCCTTTTTCCAATCTAAACGCCCCTTCAAACGCGCAATCTTGATTTAGCTTGAAATCCCAATTATCTGCGTGCGTGATTTTTCCCAAAAAGTGCACGTATATATTTTCCGTATATTCTCCCGATTTCCGTCTTCCAGGTTTCTCTGTCCTCCACCCACCCACCCACCCACCCACCGAAGATCGTATTTTCTTTCGGTCTTCTCTTCTCCCTCCACTTTACTGCTCTTTCAAGGTGCGCTTCTATTTTTCTCCTTTTTCGTATGAATAGTTCAAGGGCATCCCGATGATCGCCCCAAATTTGTATTGTTCTGTATTGGGATTCTCAGTTTTTTTCATGATTTGTGCGTATTCATGGTCCGATCGTCCATTTTTTGAGTTTTTTCTTGTGGGATTGTCGTATAATTTCAATAGTTTTTGATGATCATGATCAGCTTGGTATGCTATTGATGTTGTCAAGGTATCTTGTTTCCTCCTCATCGAAGGAAAGAATATGTGTTTTCAGAGGTCACCCAGAAAAAAAATCTCAATTTCTTTAGACGAGAGGGTAATTTTGACGAAGATTATGGCATTTTATTAACCCTTTGATTGATTTCTGGCTGTTTCAACAAATTTTTGTTTCATTATTGTGATGAGTGCAGCAAAGGATTGCTGCCGACAGATTTATGTTCCTTGAAATAATGCCGATTGTTGGTTTAATGAACGATCTTAGTAGAATTTTTTTGATTTGACTTGCTATCTTGGCGATCGCATAGGCATTTATGCATCATAGTTGGTTTAAGGATAATCCCTTGGGATCCTCATTTGATTATCAGTGTTACTGAACTGTGGCTGCTTATTTTACAGGTGAAATTCACAGTTTGAAAATCCAGTTTATTCAAATTGAAGAGGGAGGGTACTAGTTCGTGGAGGAAATAGTACTTCTGCGGGCTTATGTACTCTCGTATCCAATTGCCAACATAATCATTGGCCAATAATTTTGAACTTGAATGCAAGTGAATAGCTGAATTGATCTATCTGTTGACTTGGGAATCTGCTGGATTAGATAATCGAGAATTTTAAGAGATTTGTAGGCGTTGGCACAATGGGTGCTGTCTGCTGCTGTTTGAGCATGGACGATTTTGAAGACTATGTCAATCCTAATAGTTCGGTATATAGGAATTGCACCTGTCTTAGTTGCTTCATTCAGAATTTCTTAAACGCCGTAAGCCCTATTTTCGTTGCATTTTTTGCGATTGTGTCACTGTGAAGGATGAAAATTTCGTTATTTCATAAATAACGTGTTTTGTTCGAATGCTAATAATGGTGAAAATTCGAAGAAAATGTTGCGAACATTAATGCTTCTCACTTCATTGTATGCCATTGTATTGTGTTATTTGTTTGCGTTTGTCTTTCCATATTTTCTTGCTTTATGATGCGCGCGTAAATAAATATATATGACCCATAACGCACATCAAATTATCATCTTCTTATGGAAAGCGCTTGTAAGTTGTTTCTCACGCGTCACAATTGTTTAGCTGTAGTTACAAACTTTGTTCTTATGATAATCGTATGACTCTGCTTTCCGTCTTATTTTCTCTAGTACACATTGATTTTTCGAAGAGGAGAAGTGCATCCTGTCTCTTCATCAATTCAAGGGGCGACATCCATGAGTTCTGCATCATCGACAGACAACTCTTTATCTGAAATATACCGCTCACCTCCAAGGCCATTGCCATATGATGCTGACCCCAGATACATCCGCTTGCAGCGGGATGGATTGATTTCGAGGCGCGAGAAGGGTTCAAGCCATTTACATGAGGAGTCAGAACCTCTAAGAGGTGAAGTAGATACAGATTCAGATTCTTTGGGCTCGGCAGGCAAATGGAATGGATCTGCTTGTCTTGACGAATCTAAAGAAAATCTTGGCAAGTCATCTCTAAAGATCCCATCAACTAAATCTACCACTGGAGCAGGGTATGCTTATACATCTTCGGAAGACGAGGATGTCTGTCCAACATGTCTTGAAGGTCGATTTTTTTGATAACTTCATTTTATCCTTGATTTTATTTAATTGCTCATCAAAATCTATGATTTTGGCCCTCAATATTCTTGTTTTTTGAGCTTATAGGGGGATAAACAAGTTACTAATCCACACGTTTTTTGACATGCCGAAATTTTCATTCTGCTCGTTAAATTTTCTTTTTTTCCCTAGCAGAATATACCTCAGAGAATCCCAAGATAGTGACAAAATGCTGTCATCACTTTCACCTTGGATGTATCTATGAGTGGATGGAGAGAAGTGATAACTGCCCAGTTTGTGGCAAGGTATGCCTCTTTTTCTCCATCATATCATATGAACTTGTTCAATCACTATCTCAAAGCCACCCTATTAGTTGCGTTCTAGTGACTCGGATTGATGTTCGGATCTTTTTATGTTTTGGAAGTTCTGTGTTTCGTAAGCGTCGCCATTATTTGGCAAAATATGACTTTATGATTTGACGCAATTGATTTTAAGATTAATATTTCTTGGTACTTTAGTATGGATTGAGCATAAGGACTATTCTGGATTTGCAGAACCATCGTGGTTCGTTTAGAAATTGAAAAAATGTCTAGTTAACATAGATGGTCTATACGATCCATTTATTTATGTCTACCCTATCCTTGTGTCATCTTCGCTCAGAACCGACTTATTAAGCTACGTTATAATAACTCCTATAAAAAAAAAAACTTGTAGAACATCAGAAGTTTAAGAGAACACATCATTTTTCTTTTTCTTATGTGCTTCTTAGAATGGGATCACTCAATTTCATTTTTTGTTTTTGTTGATAACCTGAGGGTTCTCAAGCTAACCTGGGGGCACCTACACCCGCCCCTAGGATTGAAACCCCATGTGACCTCTGGGTAGGTGTCGTGCGCCTTTTGCGGAGGGGCCACCCCTTGGGCACTTGTTGATCTCGTTTTGACGTAAATATTTATGCTTGATTGATACACTACACCATTTTGTGATATTCGATTGGTCGGGTAGTGCTTCGGCGTTTTTTGGTATAATAACTGATGTTCTTTTCCTCAGCTCCTTCACTGGTGAAGCTTTGGGGAATGATCTTGAAACGCGATCCTTAGATGCTCATCTCTAAGTATAAAATGGCGTATTATCTTACATAGTATAAAATCATGTTTTTGTGTTTAAAATCTGGGGTTTTCTGTTTCTTTTGATGAGCTGATTAATAGTAGCATAAGATTATTTGATTTGTAAACTAGGAGTAGGAAGGAAACAGCCCAAGTTTGGATGGGTCTCATTAACTTTTGTTTCATGCCACTGTTTGAATATCTTAGGTAATGGCATTTGATGAAACGACTTGATTGTTCGTGTCGTGTCGTGGATGAAGGCGGCGGCTGCGGCGGCAGCAGCAGCAGCACCTCGGGCATAATAACCAACAGGAAGATGGTGATTTGTGAATATTGCAGGATAATATTTTTCAACCATAGTAAATATTATGAATGAAAGTCTAACCAAGGTTGGATCCATCTGTTTCCTCTCTCTCTCTCTCTCTCTCTTGTTCTTCATTTTTCAAAGAGATTCAAAGATTATTTCTAAGTTATACAGTGTTGTTGAAACCGATGTTTCACCAAAATATATGATCTTATAGGGGGAAGAAAAACAGGTGTTGTGAATGACTGAGAAATCTTTCCATCCCATGTTTGGTGTTTTTTCCTTTTCTTTTCTTGAAAATGGAATATGATCACCTTTCAATCATCTCATCTCATCTCATCTCATCTTCTGAATGAAAATGCTTAAATCATTCAATCATATTGAGTTCAATTCAGCTTATTCCTTGTGTTTAGGTCTTTGTTTGGGATTATGCGTTGAGGTGTGTGGACAATGTCATTGATCAATCAAAATCTTCTTTTTGCTTCAACTTAAACTGGGTAGACTCGATCAAATTGTCATTAAAAACCACAATTTAATGCTATACTATAATAGTCTTAGATGCTTAAGTTGGTTTCCAAGGCCAACGTGTGTGATAAACAATTCATAGCATAATTATTCTACGGTACTTAAGTGTCATATTGATAACTCATCACATTTTGTTCAATCATAAATAAAAAGTTAGTTCAATAAAAATTGAATAACAAGGTTGTGCATATAATAAGATGAAAAACCGACGAAACTGATAGATATTCACCACATGCTAATTAAGTAAAGGGTCCACTAGTTCCACTATAAGCTTGCTTCTCCTAATGCCAACACCAAGAAGAAGGTCGTTTACGTGCTTAACTTGCATTGGCAACGTCGACCTATCTACATCCAACGTGAGAGACCAATTGCCTTAGTTAGAAGGAAGGCGTTCTCGAGACATACCAGATCCCAATTACCAGGTGACCTATTAACTAATCTTTCTGACAATTGCTCAGCTTCCAAGGTGCCGAGTGAAGCTGCTACTCATAAAGATGTCAATACCTGGAATCAAAAAATTGTTTCAACCAATTTTAGAAAATTAATTTTGGGGAAATATGTAATTTATTTATTTAATATATTTTTTTTGTCGGAATAATATATATATATATATATATATATATATATATATATATATTATTGATTTATTGTAATTAAATAATTATAGTTTATTATTTTATAAATTAGGATGAATTAATTAATTGAATTTATTCCAAATAAGAGTAAATGTTATAAGAATTTTATATGAATAAATAATATTTTGTATAGCTCTAGTAATTACTACTAACAATAGTTAAGAGATTGTTGGTTTTCCAAGACGCTCATAATATCTTCACTCATCTTTTCAGAGGTTTGGTTAGAAATGAATTAAGAGATCGTTTAAGAAACCGTGTGAAGATTTCAGGTTCAGGCAACATTGTCTTGGTATTCTCCGCTTGAACTAATAGCAAATTCAATCTCACAGCAGCATCAGAATCAATGAAAATTCAACTCCTAATTACACAAAATCGTAGATCCAGTAATCCTAAGACACAAACATGCCTTCAAGGCAACAAAAGAACTAGTAAGCATCCACAAATTTCATGCACAATGATAAAAACAGATCACGGATCGATTAATGAGCAAATGGTGGAACAGGATACGTACCCTAGTTCTACCGCCAAATTTCGCCAACAAGCGGGATCACGAATTTCTAATCTCGGATTCCTTCAAAGTTCAATTTGACAAGCGAACACAGATCCAAAAACCGATAAACACGAAAAATAATTACTCAAAACAGCGCCGGCTGCCTCCATAATAAATGTCCACAAGACGTAATTCCATTTGCTCAAGCAGTAATCCCGACTTTCGCGACAGTAGTGATCACGAGAAGGATGAATACTCGCTCCTGCTTGAAGGGATGATTCATTCCAGACGGATGAACTTTAACAAATAAAAATTCTCAAATGGAAGCGGTTTATATTTTGATGAAATTTTATGTTTGTAAATTGTAATATATATAGGAAGGGCCGAATGCAGAAGAGTTGGGCCGGGCCCAATACCAGGCTTATCCAGGCAACCCGCCCCATCTCCAAGTTTCGCGGAACAACAGAAAGCGGCGATCGTTTTCTTGCAACTATTTATTTCCTTTCCTTCTAACTTCCTTTCCATTTCAAACTTTCTTCTTTGATCCTGTTCCTCAGGTACTCTCCGCTTTCCCTCTAATCATCTCTCTCTTTAAATTTTCACATATTTTTACTGTCTGAATCATATCATACGGCTGACGACAACTCAGGAAAAGGTCCGCCCTTTCCGTGATTAGTTTCGATTTTCCTTTTTTTTGTCGTCGGTCCATCGATTGGAATGAGGCTTGAGAAATTAGAACGAATAATGCGGTGGTCTTCATTTTTTCTTTTCTGCATGATATCTTTCATTTCCAATTTCTGTTTGATTTCTTCTTTGGAGCTGAACTATTTGTTGTCCATGGAATTTTTCGAATCTTTTAGGGGCAAGAAATGGATATTAACGATGTGTTTGGGATGACCCAGAATTGTAGCCTGCCAAGAAAGAGTGCAATTTATGTTTGGGGTTATAATCAATCGGGCCAGACGGGTCGAAAGGGTAAGGATCATCAATTAAGGATTCCTAGGCAGCTCCGTCCTGACCTTTTTGGATGCCCAGTGGAAGCTAATTGTCGATGGCTGGATATTGATTGTGGTCGTGAACATACGGCTGCTGTGGCTTCTGATGGGTCACTTTTTACCTGGGGTTTGACCTATTCCTACTCTCTGTTTCTGTTCATAAAATGTTTCTGATGACCCGAGATTTCGTTTCTTTTGATATGTTTATATGCAAGTTTATTCTTTCGTTTAAAGCTCTTGGAACTACAGGCTTCTTTCTCCAATCTTTTGGGTTTTATTCCAAATTTCCGGACCATTCGGAAAATTGAAATAATAACATATGGACAATGATAATAATTTTAGCAGATATCAATGAGAGTTTGATTATTTGTGGTACCCTGTGACTCATCTGGCGTTACCCAAAAGTTTCAGATCAATGAATTCTAGCAATATTAAATGGGAACGATGTTGTATTGGTTTCCTTGGGCGTCCATCTGGCTCCTCTTTGTCTGCTTGAACCTTTTATTTGCAGAATTTGTCTGTTTTTCTTTTCCCCTGCAGTGCACGTGAAGGTGCTCGGTTTTGATATAGGATTTTTTTTCCTTTTCAAATAATAACTATCAGGTGCAAATGATTTTGGTCAACTGGGGGATGGAACTGAGGAAAAGAGCAAAGAGCCAAAGAAAGTGAAGCAATTGCAGACGGAGTTTGTGAAATCTGTTTCCTGTGGAGCACATTGTACTGCTGCTATTGCAGAACCTCACGAGAATGATGGCACGATTTCAACTAGCAGACTCTGGATTTGGGGACAAAATCAGGTTTTAGTTTACTTGTTTTAAATATTGATGTTCTTTTGTGAACTTTTCTGCATTTTCAACAACTCCTCTCTTATCACAGGGATCCAATTTGCCACGCTTATTTTGGGGAGCCTTCACACCAAACACGGTATGTTTCTAATATATAGTAAGCGAATATCATGTGTCTATCGTGTATATATTTAAATTTTTTAAAAATCTCAGTATTTTGTCAGTTTCTTTTTCACTTTTTCTTCTCTTTTTTGTTGTATTGCTCCAATAACGAGCCTAGTTAATGTTCTCTCATTTATTGTCTACCATTCTTGCATCTTCCTCTCTGTGAGAGAGGCATCCATCGTTTTAATCACTTTGGAAAGACCTTGCCTTATTTGCTCCTTAAATTTTCACACTATTCTAATAACCTTGGCTTCAACTAATTCAATGTAATAACTGTTTTGTTATTTTGTTTCTCTTCTCTATGTTGAAGTTCCTCTATGATTCGACAGTGTCATGTGATAATATAGAACTGTCTTCAGCTGATACAAAATTTAGTGTTGAATTAACATGATATAGAGTTATAAGTTAATACAATGAGAATGATAGTCGATTACTACTTTGCAGTTAATATTCCTTAAAACAATTACCTAAGGACATTCTATTTTCTGTAGATTATTCGTCAAGTGTCCTGTGGGGCAGTTCATGTAGTGGCATTATCGGATGATGGGCAAATGCAAGCATGGGGTGAGTTCATTTGGATTTCATTAAAGTTGACCTTTTAAAGTTCAAGAAATTTTTTTAGTGAAGTTGATTTCTACTTGTATACACTTGGTGATGCTATTGTGTATTGGGAATCTACTCGTAGTGAGTTGGAAGCAGGAGAGAACCTTGAATATTGGGAATCTATCCTTAGTGAGTTTTTATCTAGTTTCCTGCCACCTCAATAATAATACAATACCTATTCTGGTTGACCAGGCTACAATGAGTATGGTCAGCTAGGCAGGGGTGTTACGTCCGAAGGTCTACAAGGAGCTCGCATTATAAGTGCTTATGCAAAGTTCCTTGATGAGGCCCCTGAGCTTGTAAAGATTACTAAAGTGTCATGTGGGGAGTACCATTCTGCAGCTATATCTGAAAACGGCGAGGTGTAAGTGATCCAAAGGACAAACTAACTGGAAAAAAAGTTTTTATTTTTAAGTTTGTGAACTGTGCTCGTCCACAGATCACATAGATCTCAAGGTTTGGAATCTTCTAACAGAATTCCCATATAAGGGAGAACAAATTGGATGATCAATGCACTGTGATGTCGTGGACACCCGTTCCACTGATTGACTATCAAATGAAGTTCTTACATAGAATTTCCTTCTTCAAATTATGTGTTTAGTGTCAAAACATGAGTGCATGCCATTCACACATACTCTCTTTGAATTTTTTTAGTTTTGTTTGGTGCATCTAACAGAATTCCCATATAAGGGAGAACAAATTGGATGATCAATGCACTGTGATGTCGTGGACACCCGTTCCACTGATTGACTATCAAATGAAGTTCTTACATAGAATTTCCTTCTTCAAATTATGTGTTTAGTGTCAAAACATGAGTGCATGCCATTCACACATACACTCTTTGAATTTTTTTAGTTTTGTTTGGTGCATCGTTGATTTGTTGTGTCAATTTATGGTGACAAGCTCATGTAGTTTCTACTTAGGAATTTGAAAGTTCGCAGGCATGGAGTTTCGCACGTGCAATTCTATTATGTGAGTTAGTTAACGAAAGAAATCTGTGAATTAGAGGAAAAAAGAAGGAAAGGGAACTAAGCTATTGAACTCTTATTGTCGAGGAACTAAGACACC